TTCTGAGTGGTGTTGAAGGGTTAAGGGAGGCCTTGGTGCTGGAGCTGGTGCCTCCTGAGGCCATCTCTGAGGAGGACAGGAAGGACAGGGGGGCAGGAAGGAAGCACTCACACTGCTTGGGCCTGGGAGCACCAGTGACTCTAAGTCTCACCTGAGCAAAGTCAGTCTGCAGTCAGAGTACAGGGGACCCACACTGGTGTTCTTGAACAAGGGTCCGAGCTGTGGAGGAGACAGAGGGGGGAGTGAGTCAGCTGAGAGATGGGCAATGGCATCATTGGTGGGTGTGGGGATCTTGGAGGATACAGGTGCATTAGAGGGTGGGACACAGGCAGGCTGGCTCCAGTGGGCAGGACCAGAGTGGGACAGGCACTGTGCTCACCAGGTGCTGCAGGACCCTCTGAGTTGTGTTGAAGGTCAAGGACCCTGGGGGCTGCATGTCGTCCTCGTAGCTCAGGTTGGTGATGGTGAAGTTGAGGGTGAAGGGCTCCAGGGGAGGTCCTGAGACTGCATCAGGGGAGGGAGAGGAGAGGACCTTTGAGTCAGATATGGGTGGATTTTGAGGGCAGGCAGGGTCTGTGGTCACAGTCTGAGATCAGGGAGGATCTCACTGGAGACTACAGCAATGGATTAGTGTCCTTTGGGCCCAAGCCCTGCGCCACCATTGTGGATCACATTCAGTCATCGAATCTACAGTTAGGGAGGGGAAGATGTGGAACCTCCAAAGCTTCAAGGAGACAGTTGAACATCTAATATTTTATTTCTGGCAATTCTATTGAATTGTTCATTTATTACTTTCATCTCTCCACCCAATTATCAATCAGTGGCATTCTCTCTATTTCCAAGGAAATATGGCCAGAAGTGTCCAACGACACGGTGGTGATAGTATGATTGCAAGGACTTCCCAGCCTGTGACCCCCAACTTCTTCCTTCCTGGGCCGCTGTCGATGTGGTCAGGGCCTGTTGCTTCCTTCCCTGGCTGTGGGACTTCTGAGGACCACTGACTACTCACCAGTGGTGGTGGTCATGACAGTCCGGTGGGTGTAACCTGCAGAGAGCCAGAGAGAGTGACCTTGAGGAGGTGCTGGGAGGGGAGGAGGACCGAGGAGGCTTGGAAGGGGATGCTGTGGGCTCCACCATGCAGCAGAGCAAGATGGCCCTGCTCACCGTTGACATAGAGACTGTTCCGGTCCAGGGTATAGCTGCCCAGCTGAGTGACCCCTTGTGTGAGCAGGCTCAGCTCCCAGTACAGCTGCTCTGTGTCCAGCTTGGGTTCCAAGGGGTTAGGATGGTAGGTGCAGACGGTGTGCACTCCTGTGGCTGAGCCATTCTTTTCAGACCTGGGGGAGAATGGAGAGGAAGAGGAATGAGAGCCTTTTCAGGAAAGGGGCCAGGAATACCGCCACCAAGAAGGGAAAATTATAGAGGCAATGAGAAGGCCCGCAGAAGCGTGAGAGGTCAGATACAGGTTCTCCGAGGGCACTGGCTTCTGAACAGCTCGCCACTGCGACAGAGTTGGCAGGTGTGAAAATGGATCCTGAATTTTAAAGATGAAACATGCCACCTCATGGCTTTGGGACAGGCAGGTCCCAAGGTGGGACAGGTGGAGAACTGGAGTTGGGGATTACAGCAAACGTAGAAAGTGTGTCTGTCACAAGATCCATCCTGGCAACAGAATCCACCATCTAGAGGAAATGCCCTTCTTGTAAAAGGGAGAAGGGAGGGAGGGGAAGAGGGTCAGTGATGCTGATGGACAGAATTTGAGACAGGTCAGGAGGGGGAAGTGGAAGGGTTAAGGGAGGCCTTGGTCTCGGAGCTGATGCCTCCTGAGGCCATCTCTGAGGAGGACAGGAAGGACAGGGGGGCAGGAAGGAAGCACCTACACTGCTTGGGCCTGGGAGCACCAGTGACTCTAAGTCTCACCTGAGCAAAGTCAGTCTGCAGTCAGAGTACAGGGGACCCACACTGGTGTTCCTGAACAAGGGCCTGAGCTGTGGAGGAGAGAGAGGGGGGAGTGGGTCAGCTGAGAGGTGGGCAATGGCACCATTGGTGGGTGTGGGGATCCTGGAGGATACAGGTGCATCAGAGGGTGGGACAGAGGCAGGCTGGCTCCAGTGGGCAGGACCCGAGTGGGACAGGCACTGTGCTCACCAGCTGCTGCAGAGTCTTCTCTGTGCTGTTGAAAATCCAAGACCCTGGGGGCTGCATTTCCTCCTCGTAGCGCAGGTTGGTGATGGTGAAGTTGAGGGTGAAGGACTCCAGGCGAAGTCCTGAGGCTGCATCTGTGGAGGGAGTCAAGAGGTCCCCTTGAGTCAGGTCTGGGTAGACATAGTGGACAGACAGGGTCTGTGGCCATGGTCCTTAAATCAGGGACCCTCCCACTCAGAATACAGCAAGCCCTGGGAGTTCTTGGGTCCCAACCCCTAAATCAGTTGTGGTCCATCCTGGATTATCACACACTGCAGGCCATGAAGGAACAATCTGGAAACCAGAAAGCTCTGATGGAAGAATTTTTTAAATACTTATATTTTTTCCCATCAAATTCTGCACCTCCTTTTTTCCGTTCATCCACCCAAATTACATTTAATGACCTTGGTGTGTGTCCAGGCAACAACACAAGGTCATCAGAGCTGAGACCTATCCCACTGGCTTCCCAGCCTGTGACCTGGTTCCTGTCCTCCCTGACAGCTGGAAACGTACGTAGGCAGGGGTCTGCTGCTTGACCCCCGGAAGTCAAGGGATTTCACTGTGTAGACTCACCACTGGGAGTAGTTGCTGTGGCCTGGTGGGTGTAACCTGCAGCAGGAGAGGGGGAGAGAGGGGAGTGGGGAGAATGAATGTATGAATTGTGAGTTGGTGAGGACCCAGGCAGCGTAGACCTGGAGGACGCCCCAGGCTCTACCACACAGCAGAACAGATGGCCGCTGCTCACCATTGACATAGAGACTGTTCCTCTCCAGGGTGTAGGGGCCCAGCTGGGTGATGCCGTGGGTCAGCTGGCTCAGCTCCCAGTACAGCTGCTTTATGTCCAGCTTGGAGCCCACAGGGTCGGGACGGTAGTTACAGACTGCATCCACCCTGGTGGCCAATCCATCTTTCCTGGGTCTGGATAGGAAGGGCGATAGGAATGTCATTAAACAGCTCTTCATGGAGGGGTTCTTTGGTTCTTGGGGACAGGGGAGGAAGGGGCACTGATACGAGAAGCCTGACAGAGAGGGGAATTAGGAGACCCAGAGCCTCCAAGTGCAGTGATTTCTGGCCACTCCGCGCTGGTCTGGGGAGAAACGTTACGTCATGAGGCAGAAACCTGCGTCCTCATGGCGTGGGCCAGCTAAGCTCCCACCCGAGGCAGGTGGAATCTGCAACTGGACTCAATCAAGCAGTCTTAACAGAAATTTCGGGCAGAATTGGAAGCCTAAGTGAAGGCCCATCCTGTGGAACATTCAGAGGGGGAAGTCTTAATTTAGAAAATGTGACTTGGGGGTGGGGTCCCATCCAGCTACTGGGCTTTGCAGAATTCCAGGACTTATCGGGGAGAAGGTGGTAGAATCGGAACACATCTTGGTTACCCAGAGGATGCCGTAATACCCGAGGATGTCCAAAAGGGAGTGTGGGAGGAAGATGACCCCAATGCCCGGTTTGGGAACACGTGGGACATCTGTTGGCTGTGGCTCTAAGGTCTCACCTGAGCAAAATCACTTTGCAGTCAGAGTACAAGGGACCCACGCTGGTGTTTTTGAGCAAGGGCCCTAGCTATGGAAGAGAGAGTAAGAGATTAGGAGACGCATGGCTCCGTGCTCATCCTTGACAGGGGTCGTCCTCAGTGAAGGAGGCTTAGGGTATGGGGAGAGGGGAGTGACCAGTGGGAAGGGCAGCAGTGACAGGATGGGGCTTGAGGGATGTGGGCAGGGCAGGAACGAGTGGATAAGGGGGCTGGATGCTCTCACCTGGAGCTGCAGAGCCTTCTCTGTGGTCTTGAAGGTGAAGGACCCTGGGGGCTGCATGTCCTCCTTGTACTGCAGGTTGGTGATGGTGAAGTTGATGGTGATGGACTCTAGGGCCAGTCCCGTCACTACAGCAGGGAAGAGGAGAGGGGAGAGCCCACACTGAGTCAGGCCTGGGGTGGATATAGCAGGCAGGCAGGTCTGTGGCCACAGGCCTGACACCAGTGACCGTCACACTGGAGAACAGAGCAGTGGACGAGGGTCCTGGGGGCCTAATGCCTGAATCACCAGTGTGGCCTGTGCTTGGTCATCACATACTGCGGGTAAAGAGGGCACAATGTGGCAGTTCTTATTTGCAGCAATTCTACTGAGTTGTCCCGTTATTTCTTTCTTCTCTCCACCCAATTATCATTCAGTGACATTTCTCTGTTTCCAAGGAAATATGGCCAGAAGTGTCCAATGACACGGTGGTGATAATATGATTGCAAGGACTTCCCAGCCTGTGACCCCAACTTCTTCCTTCCTGGGCCACTGGTGATGAGGTCAGGGCTTAGTGCTTCCTTCTCTGGCTGTGGCTGGGGGACTTCGGAGGGCTACTGACTACTCACCACTGGTGGTGGTCATTGCAGTCCGGTGGGTGTAACCTGCAGAGAGCCAGAGAGAGTGACCTTGAGGAGGTGCTGGGAGGGGAGGAGGACTGAGGAGGCTTGGAAGGGGATGCTGTGGGCTCCACCATGCAGCAGAGCAAGATGGCCCTGCTCACCGTTGACGAAGAGACTGTTCCGGTCCAGGGTGTAGCTGCCCAGCTGAGTGACCCCTTTGGTGAGCAGGCTCAGCTCCCAGTACAGCTGCTCTCTGTCCAGCTCCGGAGCCCCCGATTTCTGGTGGTGGGTGCAGAGCACGTCTACGCTTGTGGCGGCGCCGCCATTCTTTGGCCTGGAAATGGTGGGGTGGGTAACCAGGAATGGGTTGGGGAGAAAGCGTGCTTGGAGCCTGGGGGTGTGACAGGAGGCAGCGTGAGGAAATGAGAAGCCTGGTACAGAGGCAAGAAGCCAGAGTTTGAGATCAGGTGGCTCCTTGGTGTTTCTCAGCCTGTGGAAGGAGGAATCTGGGAACGCAGACAAGGGGACCACCTGATGCGTTTCTCTGGCAGAACCACAAGAGTGCCATAGGCCGCGTCAGAAGGCGGTATAGCTCTACCGCCCTGGATGCTGCTTGTTCCCACCCTGCAGAACGCCCTTCCCTTCACCTCCTGAATCCAGGCCTCGCCTCCGGTGCCCTGTACTTCATGATCCATTCTCACCAAGGCTGCTAATTCTCACTCTAGCTGCAAATCTCTTCTTGTTAGACGTTTGCTGAAATCCATCCATGGATCTCTCCCTTCTGGGAGTGAATTCCTGATGTCCTGCTGTGAATCTGGGCACACCCCATAGGCTCCTGTGCGGCTAGGATTTCTGCTCTGCCTCTGGCTACACTTCCCCTACCTACTTTCCCTGCAGCAGACATGGGACATCACCTTCCCCCTCCAGGTAGTCAGTCTGCAGCCAGAGTACAGGGGACCCACACTGGTGTTTGTGAACAAGGGTAAGAGCATCTCGTTTCCTCCTTGACTCGCCACCCTTCCCTCCTCTCCATACGTCAGCAGTCTCTCTGGGCCTGTTTGTCAGCTATAAGATGGGCATCATGTAATAATACGGGGTACTGATGTGCGTTGTGAGGACTGAAGCTGTTGGTATAGACACGGGGCGCTGTGGCTCTTCTCAAGGAAGAGGCCGGGCAGCACTGAGGGGAAAGGCACATGCTTCCCCTAGACGTGAATCCTGGTCCTCTACCTGGCAGGTCCTGAGTTCTGGGTTTTCAGTGCTTTTTCTGTGCCTTGGCTTCTCATTTGTAAAACTGGGATAATTATCATGATTTTGAAATCTGGTGCTTCTAAACTAGGGGCAACTTGTACCCTTGGGGGACATTTGGTAAGGTCTGGAGTCATTTTTGGTTGTCCTAACTGCGGGGGTGGGGAGAGGATGGGGTCCAATAGGCATCTAGCTTGTAATTTAGAGGCAATGATGCAAATCAACGCCCCACGATGCAGAGGACAGCCACCCTCAATAAGAATGGTTCAGAATCTCCATGGTGCCAATGTGGGAAGACCCCAGGTCCTTCATCCCAGTGTCTGGCACATACTAATTGCTTATTTTGCATTGACCTTCAGGGAAAGATAGATGTTGTAGGCTATATTTCTATGCTGTAGGTGTGTCCTTTGTAAAGAAGTTTGGTTCATATTTCCAAGTTGCCCGTTTCCTCAGTTTGTTTCTAGAAAATACCTAGGAGACTTGAGGCTCAGGAGGATGGGAAGGTCTGGGCAATGGTCCGGGGTGGGATAGGAATGCAAGGAGAATCTCCCAGGAAAGGGCCAAGTCAAAGGGAGGACTTAGTCCTAATGAATTACACATAAGAATCTCCCAGGGAAGGGCCAAGTCCTAATGAATTACACATAAGAATCTCCACCATGTCTCCCTCCTGGACATCTTCTCTGGAGATTTTACCTGAGAGAGATCAGTCTGCAGCCAGAGTACTGCAGGCCGACACTGGTGCTCTGGAACAGGGACCTGAGCTGTGGATAGAAGTGAATAGAACACCTGAGTGGGAGGGGGCCCGCGACGAATGGGTGGAGCTATGACGAGTGGGCGTGGCTAGGAGAGTGGGCGGGGCAGGGGAAGTGGGTGGGTCTCTCACCAGCTTCTGCAGAGCGTTCTCGGTTTTGTTGAACTTAACAGAGCCCCGGAGCTGCATATCCTCCGCGTAAAGCAGGTTGGTGATGGTGAAGTTAAGGCTGAATGACACCAGAGCAGCGCCAGAGACTGCTGTGAGATTGGGGGAGAAGATAAGCCCCGAGTTATACTGCGAAGTAGATTTGGGGGTTGAGGAGGACTCCAAGTCCATATCCCTGGTACCCAGTGTATTCACATCTGGGATAAGAGATCAGAATGTCTCTCCTCCAATAGGAGGAGATGTCTCTCCACTTTATTTTGAAAGACACCACCACCACCACCAACAACAACAATGACAATGACAATAAGTAGCAGCAATAATAATAATAATAATGTTGGGTAGAGCTCACTCCCTGCTACCCCTTGGTCCTAAGCATTCTCCATCCAGTATCTCATGTATTCTCTCACACAATCCCTGGAGGTGAGTCCTATCACTGACTCCTAACTGCCAGAGGATGAAAATCATGTTCAAAAAATTTAAATCACTTTCCCAACACCACACACTATTTTCGTAAATGATAGACTGTTCCACTAGGGATCAGGGGCGTTTGTTATGCAGTAAAAGCTAACTGATACAATCTTCAACAGAGAGCAAAGCTTGGATTTCAGAGACTCCAGTGCCTCAGGCCGAGGCTGAAAACCTGATATCACAGAGCTCTCCAACCTAGGGATGGAACTGAACTGCTCTGTGACAAGGGTATAGCCTCAAACGTTCATCGTTCCCACCCTGTCCCCTTGCCTTGACCTCCTGTGCATATTTATTACCCCTTCTCACTGCTCAGCGTAAAGACACGTGATCAGGAGGAAAGCAGACATGGAGACAAGGCTCCTACCTGTGGTCAAAGCAGTCGAGGTTCCCAAGGAGAGGGGGGAAGACACAGCAGCTGGGGAGGAGGAATGGGAAATGAGTGCCATGTTGCTTCGTCACACCGGCGGTGCCAGAAAGAGGGGCCTTGGTGCTCAGCCTGAGTCACAGAGGAGAGCTGGGGGTGGGGCTGACCAGGTCCTGAGGCTTCCTTCCTCCATGAGGACCTAGACTTTGTGGGATGTGACCAGCTGCCCCCTCACGGGGCAGTGGAGGCGTGGGGCCATTGGGGGTCTGAGCACTTACCAGGGGCCGTGGAGGTCAGGACTGGCCTGGTGAAACCTGCAGAGAGTGAACAAGAATGAGGCGGGAGGCCTGGAGGGATGGACCACTGGTAGAAACTGCCTTCAGAATGACCCTGGTCAGGGGGTGGCTTCCCTTCCAGATGGTGTGTGGTACAGCCGTTCTCGGACTGTCCACCTCTCTCTGTGCACGACTTAGCCCTTGGTGAGGAAGGGGAATCTCACGAGGAGAGGAGGAGAGAGAAATCCAGAAGCAGATGGATTTCATGTGTCCTCTAGCCAGAGATGAGTAGCCACCGGGGTCCCCCTGCCCCCAGGGTGCCAGAGGAGACCTCATCGCTGCTGCAAGATGCTCACCATTGACATAAAAGTGGTCTCTGTCCAGGATGTAGGAGCCAAGCCGGGTGACACCGTGGGTCAAGCGGCTCAACTCCCAGTAGAGCTGTTCCCTGTCCAGCCCGAGGCCCCCAGGGTCAGGATGATAGGTGCAGATGACGTCCACTCCAGTGGCTGTCCCACCTTTCTCAGGCCTGCAGAGGTAAGGACATGGGGTGGGGATGGGGCAGAAGGGCATCCTTGGTTGGACATCTTTCTGTCAGCCCCCTTGGATGTGAAGGCCTGCTAATCTGCCCTCCGGGTCCAGGCATGAGCTGCCCTCAAGAGCAGGGGCATCCCTGAGCCATAAAGGACCAGAGTGGATGTTTCATCTGTTTAAACCTTAGCTCTTTCACTTGTTGAAAAACTCACAGAAGCTTTTTTGACTCCCGAATCTCCCATTTGTACTGAATGGATAATGCCCTGACCACGGGGTTGGAGTGTCATGGGATTCAGAAGTGAGGAAAAATATCCATCCCTGGTGCTGGCTATCATACAGGTGCACACTAATTAATTAATTTCTTAATTAAACAAATATTTACAAAGGACCCGCAGTCGCTGATGAGAATGAACAGCCAGCTCTGAACAGAAATGCGTCAACTCTTGGAGAGTGGATCCAACCCAATTTCTGGGTCTGACCATCTGAACTTTCCAGTAACCACAAATTTTCCATTCCTGTCTCATTGGGGCAGCAGGAAAAGTGGGCCCTGAAGGGAGAACCTGAAAGGTTCACTATATTGTCCTGCCAGAGAGCATAATCAAGGACAGAGTGTCCTTTGTATCTCAGATGGATGGAATTGACCTTGAGCTAAGCAGATTCTAGCGCTGGTCTATTAGAAGCTTGATAAAAGTGCTACATTAGTCATGTTGTCTGGAAATATTGCACGTGGTGAAAATGACTAGACCTATTTCTGGGAGGACCATAAATGGACCTCCATCCCTTGCAGGAAGGTCTGACTTGGAGCTGCCTTGGGTGTGTTGACCTTGTTAGCTAGGTAGAACCGCTTGGTTTTCCTTTGGGATGGGATACTTCTAAGTCAAGGCAAATCCATTGGCCACTGAGGCCTTGATTCCTTGCATATGAATTGTCACCTGAGATGCTGAGAAGAAGGACAACCCTTGGACCATCAAAAGGGCGCTCTCAAAAATGAAACACCAGACACTACCCTGTTGGCCCTGTCCTTATTGTTCTAAGTGAAATGGAAGCCAAACGGCTTATTCAGGTCTTGCAAGTGTGACTGTGGATTTGAGATGTTCTACAGAGACCAGCACACAGGACTGGGAGGAGGGCGACGGGAGCCTGGGAGGTCTCGGGTGCTCTCAGGGTTGTGCAGGCGCAGAGGTGGCACCTGAAAGCGAGCACATTCCTAAATTTGGTGCCCTGAGACCTCTTTTGTTCCACCTGGTCCAGATCCTGGCCAGTGCAACCTGCCCATGCTTTACCACCTCTGCTAAGGCAACACGGAAGGGAATCTCACCTCAGTATGGACAGTCTGCACCCATCGTAGAGTGAACCGATGCTGCAGTTGGTGAACAAGGACTTGAGCTGACGAGGAAGGAGAGGGTCAGTGAAAAGATGAGCTCCTCCTCAGCCACTGTTTATTATCTTTCATTTTTGATTTATCCTGCTAACTGTACACATTAAGGGGGTTTAGTGTGGTATTTCTTTTTCTTTTCTTTTCTTTTTTTTTTTAGTTGCTGATAGAACTTGATTTTTGTTTATTTGTATGTGGTGCTGAGAACCGAGCCCAGGGCCTGACACAGGCTAGGCAAGCGCTCCGCCACTGAGCCCCAGCCCCAGCCCCTGAGTGTGGTATTTCCATTGATGCACACAGCGGGCAGTGATCAAATCCAGCCTCTCTTTGTCCACCCCCTACCCAGAAGGTAAGTCCTTCCCACTTCGAGTAACCACTGTTCTACATTCAGGTTGACTGTTCAGCATCCACATATAGGATGAGAACATATGTGCTTGTCTTTCTGTGTCTGGCCTGTTTCTCTTTACATCATGTTTGCCAGGTAGTTGCACATGACAGGATCTCATCCTTCCTTATGGATGAGTAATATTCCATTGTGTGTGTGTATGTACTTATGTATTTATGTGAGTGAGTATATGTGTGTGTGTATACATATATGTGTACATAATATCACATATTTTTTACCCCTTCATCTGTTGATAGGCACCTAGGTTGATTTCATATCTTAGCTACTGTGAATAGTGCCCCAATAAATATGGTTTGCAGATATCTCTGGGTATGCTAAGTTCATTTCCTTCAGATACATGCCCAGGAGTTGTATAGCTGGATTATACAGAACTATTTTTTTTTTTTGATTTGTGGCAGTTCCAATTTCTGAATCCTTTAAATCTTCCAAAATTGAGCAGAGAGATTCAAAGAAGGTGGGTGGGGGGGGAGTTGGGAAAGAGGGGTGGTGGCTGGGGGCTCTCACCAGGTGTTGCAGAGTTGTCTCTGTGGACTGGAACCTCACAGAGCCGGGCTGCATGTCCTCCATGTAGGGCAGGTTGAGGATGGTGAAGTTGACCGTGAAGTGCTGCAGGGTAAGGCTGGCAGCTGGGGTGGAGGAACCAGAGGGGGAAGGGTCATGTCCTGGGTCAGGCCTGGACCAGATAGGGGGCAGAGGGCTGCAGGGACACAGCCCTGCTCAGCCGGCCCCACGGTCTTGGAGATGCCAGGGAGGGGAGCTTACACCTGGACCTGTCCTGGGTGTGGATCCCTGTGGGAGGGGGAGGGAGGGTGGGGAGTGGGGGAGGCTCTGTGTTCTATGCCACATGGTCCCCAGCTCCGGGTGCACACAAAACCCAGAGAGTGCAGCATCTGGGTGTTTCATAAACAGGTCAAAGATGACGCCTGTGTTTTAGTCCCCAGATTTTTTTTTAAAAAAAATATCTATTTCTCTTCAGTAGGCTTGGATCCATTCACCCAAAAGCTTGCCAGCATCTCTATCAAATTTTTACACATCCTTTTGTTTCAAGCAAAGCCAAAATAAGCAAATTTTAGCCATTCAGAACCTGCTTTCTTTGCATACTCAAGGAAACCATACCCAACATCTCCTAGATATCAAAAAGGTAAATTCTATGGCTATAAACACCCTAAACTGCTGTTCCCCATCAGAGCACTCTGACCTAGAAACTCCACTTGCCCCTCTCCCTGAGGAGTTCCCTTGCCTTCCTGAGAAGTGACCCCTAACCCTAGTTCCAGATGGTCCTGTTTCAAGGGACTTCCCTTGCATGCACACTGCTTGCTACTGCCATCTAGTGGTCATATCTTGCTTTCCTTGATCAATGCCCCAATTCCTCCCCCTCCACTGGTTTAGATGTCAGAACAGGTGACAGTGGGGATTTAAGGGATACTTGCTTGTATTGACTTGAACTAATTTCTTTCTCACACCAGGGTATATTAGAGGACCTTCCCTCCAAAATCTCAGAAATTCAGCAAATAATTGTTTCCTAATTTATCAAAGTTGCTGATTTCACAAGACTTATATTTTGGCTAATTCCTTCCAATTATATTCTTCTTTAACAAGATGTTGGAAGTAATTAGACAAAGTCAGATCGTGGGATGAGATTTTGGTCTGCTGTCTTTAAAAGTCAATGTTGTGCCAGACATGGTGGTGTCTGCTGTTAATCCTGCACGACTCAAAAGGCTGAGGCAGGAGATCGCAAGTTCAAGGCCAGCCTGGGCAATGTAGTGAGACCCTAAGCAACTTAGTGAGACCCTATCTCAAAAAAATATATGTATATGTGTGTGTGTGTGTGTGTGTGTATGGCTGAGGATATAGCTCAGTGGTTATGCACCCTGGGTTTAATCCTTGGTACTCCCCCACCCCAAAAGTCATTGTTATGATTTTTAAAAATGGGCTGCTGAGTAGGATTTGTGTACACTAAAAGATATGAAACACTAACATAATCAATATGAGAAATTTGATTGGAACTTCAATTTTGAAAAAGGCTAATTATAAAAGAAAGATATTTGAAAGAATTTGAATATGGCATGTTAGATGATATGGATGCATCATCATCATTTTTTTTTTAAAGACAGAGAAAGAGAGAGAGAGAGAGAATTTTTTAATATTTATTTTTTAGTTTCTCAGTGGACACAACATCTTTATTTTTACGTGGTGTTGAGGATCGAACCCAGCGCCCCGTGCATGCCAGGCGAACGTGTTACCGCTTGAGCCACTTCCCCAGCCCCATCATCATTTTTGAAGTGTGATGTGGTTACCTAGGACAATGAACTGATATTTTTCTGATTCTCACTGACCTATTTAGCAGTGAAGCATTGTATTATGTGCTATTTTCAAATGGCTCAGACCAGAAAAAAAGTTCTGTTGACATCTACATGGTCAGTTCTACAATGCTGCTTGTTTTGAGAGCATGATTTTTTTTTTTCAGGCTCACTGATATCTTAAGGCCTAATTTGAACATAATGTAAATTCCACATCTGCTTATGTGCAGTTGCAATTGCAGGACACACAAGTGAAATGCTAAGTGCAGAAAATCATGACCCTCCATAAAATGACTGGCACAACATGTGCACTCATATACACATACACATGCGCATACACGCACACACCTCTAAGACCTGCTGGCTTCCTCCATGTCCCTTTGTTAGGAGGATACTAAGATTATAAAAGAAAGATGTTTGAAAGAATTTGAATATGATGGCCACCATTTCTGCAGGGGTGCTGACCCCTGTCTCCAGTCCTACAGATAGGAATTCTCCTCTCTGAAGATGGAACTTTGTCTTATTTCAGATAACTTTCCTTCCACCACTTGTAAATAACCCACAAGTTTCGACCCCACAGATAAAGTGCTGAACTTAAGTGTGGTATCTGCATATTTCCTAACTCTTTAATGTATGTGAGACCATGATATTGCATTAGATTCTGATCTACTTTGTTGCTGACCATATTTCCAAGTGTGGTATCCTAATCCCATTTTCACCATGTGATAATTTTGAGGAACTCCTAGGTCATGTTATAGCACAGCTTACTATGTACAAGAAGCAAACGGGATGTCGGGATGTCAGCAACTGTTGAATCCCAGGGTGGACAGATGGATGCTTCTTGTGCTATTCTTTGAATGTTTCTTGTTATTTTTGGCAATTTCATAATAAAATAGTTGGAGGGGTTGGGAACAAATACATAAAATATTCATGAATACAGAAACAATCTCATGGTTCCTAGATTTTGGAGAAATGGAACTCTCCTTAACATTCCACTTAAAGGAAAGGACCGTATTCCCTGCATAGAGCCAGGAAGAGGATGTTTGTATATATCCACAGCAATGCATTCAGAAAGAAGTAGCAAGGATAGTCTTATCTATTCAAGAGTAGTATTCATGAAAACAAGCTGTTGGGAAGTTGGATAATGGACTAAACTCTGGAAATGATCTTCTACTGACTTGGTCTCTGATGCTCAGGCCACTGCATAAATCTATTCTTCGCAAATAGGTTGGCTGTTTTGTGCTCCTCCAAGGGTTGGGGAAGGATTTAGAAGTGAAGGTCAGCTATAGGTTTCAGAAACAGGTCCCAGAGAATGGCTGGGGATGCTGAGTGCTGGGGACCCGTGTTCAAGGAATTCTCAGAGTCCTGGGAAGACCCTGTCACCCACGTCAAGAGTCAACCTTGGACTCCTGAGACAGGTTACCTACTCCACCCCTCCTACTACCTGCTGTGATTAGAGACACCACTGGAACCATCTTCAGAGAGGAGAATTCCTATCTGTAGGCCTGCAGAAAGGGGTCAGCACCCCTGCAGGAATGGTGGCCATCATAAAAGCTGGGGTGAAAAAAACCCTCATATTTGAAGTAGGGACTCTGTTACCTTGGAGAGAGCAGGAGGGGAATGGCCAGGCCCGGGGTTTTTTAGGGAGGAAGACCCTGTTCACCCTAGACTGGAGGTGGCGTAGGGTGTGAAGTGGAGACTGGGTTCTGGCTTCTTTCATTCCAAAGGACAGGGACTTATAGGGACGGTGGAGACTTCAAAGCCTCAGAATACTCACTCCTGGTGGTGGTGGCCATGATCTGGTGGGTGTAACCTGTGGAGATAAAGAAGGAAAGGGTGAGGAGGGGAGGGACGAGGGAATGGGAGGGGAGGACATGGCTGGACCCCGCCACACAGCAGAGCAAGATGGCCACTGCTCACCATTGACATAGAGACTGTTCCTGTCCAGGGTGTAGGGGCCCAGCTGGGTGATGCCGTGGGTCAGCTGGCTCAGCTCCCAGTACAGCTTCTCTCTGTTCATCCCCAGGCCTGAGGGGTCTGGGTGGTAGGTGCAGACGGCATCCACTCCAGTGGCCGTTCCACCCTTCTCAGATCTGGTGAGGACAGGTGGGGGAAATGACAGTAAATGGAATGTGTCGGGCAGGGGCAGTGGCAATGATAGAGAGGTGAGAAGCCAGACTTAGAAATCTTTCTGAGGGTGCTGACTTCCAGCCAGCCTGGGACTGTGAGCAGAGTCATGGATTGGAGAACTCTTATTCCATGTAAGAGTCAAACCTACAACCTCGTGGCCTGGGACAGGAAAGGTCATACCTGAGACAGGTGAAGACCTGGAGTTGGGCATTAAAGCAAATGAAGAAAATGTGTTTGTTGTGAGGAAAATCCTAGTGACAGAACTGAAATCTAAAGGATAAGTGGTTCTTTTAAAAGGGTTGGAGAATTCAGAAAGATGACCCAGGGAGGGGTCCAGCCCTGCTGCTGGATTCTGCAGAATTCCGGCACAGGTGGGTGGTCCTGGGGAAGCAGTGGGATAAGGAGACATTTTGGTGCTGGAGCCAGTGCTTTCTGAATTCCACCTCTGCTGAGGACATCCAGAGGGAGGGCAGGAAAGAAGCCAACCGAATTCCTGCAGCCTGGGAGCAGTTGGGAAGCCCTGGCCTGCTAGTCTAAGGACTCACCTGAGCAAAGTCAGCCTGCAGCCAGAATACAGAGGGCCGATACTGGTGTTCTTGAACAAGGACCTGAGCTGGGGAGGAAGGAGAGAGGGGTCAGGGGAAGGGCTGAGGGAACAGGGGCGGGGCAGACGTGAGGTGGGCGGGGCTTGCACCTGCGATAGGAGGGGGAGGTGGGTGGGTCTTCTTCCAAGGGCGTGGCATTGCTCAGGTGGGTGGGGCAAGAAGCAGAGGGCCCGGTTCTTACCAGCTTCTGCAGCACTCTCTCGGTGATGTTGAACTTCCAGGATCCGGGTTGACGCATCTCCTCCTCGTACATCAGATCAATGATGGTGAAGTTGATGGTGAGCGGCACCAGCATAGAGCCAGCCGCTGTAGGGGTGGCTGGAGAAAGACACCCACTGAGTATTCCCGGTCTGTGAAGCTGCGTGTGGGGCATCTCACACGTGTCTTCAAGCACTGGGGAGGGGCTTCCTCGAGGAGGGATGGAGGAGACCCCGGACGTCAGCATCAACAGAGAGCCATGAGTGGGGAACTCGGCGCCAGGGAGATAAGTGCTTCCTCAAGCAGAGAGCACACGTGGCTGACTCTCCAGGTGACTAAAATTCTGACCGTCTCCTCTCCTGAGTTTCTGTTTAGCCCAAATTGTTTCTCTGAGATCCACATATTCATTGGTTGAAAAAATATTTGAAGAAACAATCTTACTGCATTTTTACACCCAAGACCCTGTTTTAAATGCTTTGTTTACAGTGAACTCATGGTTTTGGAGCGTGACAGTGTTACCATGCCAACTTTACAGAGGTAAAAAGTGAGTCAACAGGAAGTTAAATAGTGTGCCACGAATCCCACAATGTCCAGATGGCAGAACCTGATTTGAACCCAGGCTTCATGGGCCATGGACAGGAACAATGACAGCCCAGTCTGCCTGAGGGGTCAGTGGTCGGAACACTCTCTGGAGACTTGAGCTGATGTCTAACTACAGACCCGGGACAGCAGTGAGGCCAGCTTATCCGGGGCCTCCGCAGGGCCAGGGGTGGTATGGAAATCCACCTTGGGCCCGTGGAGAGCAGAGCCTGCCCCAAACCCTAAGTCAGCATGACCTGCAAGAAGCTGGCTTCCAGGTCTATGCATAGCTCACGCCGTGTCCTTCTTTCCTGGAATTGAAAACTAAGCCCACAGAGAGAAGCTCCTCCTCACGCCTGCTAAGTGTCTCCAGAGCCTCTGAACTCATTGTGAGCCAGCCCTTGGCTGCACACGCACCTCTTTCTTTTCTGTTTTCCCTGTTGGGAGCCCATCAAAGACCAGGGCCATTGCTATTCCATTGAAGCTACATTATTAGAGCCTTAAAAAGTCCTTGTCCCACGGATAAATGAACGGTGCCTCCCACTGGCCCAGGACCCCTGAGCTTTGCACGGGAGGAGTCACCCACAGGAAGCTCCTACCTGTGGAGATTGGGGCTGGGAGTGCAGAAGTCACCGGGGGGATGACAGAGGCCATATCAGCTGAGGAGAGAACACAGGGAGGCACAGGTGGTGGGAGAAAGGGTCTCCCCAGCCAAGGAGGGCCCATGAGGGAACCCTAAGGCCATTTCCTCTTCTGCTTCAAGCTTGTGATGGGCATTTCTTTTCTGGGCTGGGGAAGGACTGGGGCTTTCTGGGCCCCTTCCTTCTCTGGGGACGTGGGGTAGAGGACAGGTGAGCGAATGGATGGGCTCTTAGGCAGACCAGTACTAGGACCCAAGTTACTCACTCGTGGGGACAGGAGTCAGGGCCCAGTGCGTGTAACCTGAAGAGAGAGAAGGAGAGAGAGAGAGAGAGACCGTGAAGACGGGAAGGATGGGGACTGGGGAGAACAGGCAAGAATCTGGGGTCCCATGGATTTCTTTAAAAGTCATATTTAGAGAGTGCTCTCCACGCGCAGACCATAGGCAAATCCCAGAGAATACAACTGGAGCACGGGGAGAGCTCCTGGATTAGGTTCATGCAGTTCAGGTTTCTGCCGTGGGTCCACCCCACCCCACTGCCCTTCTCTAGGAGACTGATCTCTCCTGAAAAGCTCTGCATATGCACGTCTCTGTGTTCTGACCCCCGGGGCACACAGCCTGCCATCAGACCCAGGGGGAAGGCGCGCTGCATTCGCCGCCCCGCTCACCGTTGACATAAAGGCTGTCCTTGTCCAGGGTGAAGAAGCCCAGCCGGGTGATGCCACGAGTCTCACGGCTCAGCTCCCAGTAGAGCAGCTCTCGGTCCAGCCCGGTGCCTGTGGGCTCAGAGCGATGGGTGCAGATGATGTCCACTCTGGTGGCTGACCCGTTCTTCTCAGACCTGGGTGGAGGGTGGCATGGTGATAGGGACGTGTGAAAGATGGATACTGAATGTGGCTTACAAGAATAATAATGCCTGGAAAAGTCACAAGCCTTTCTCAGATGGAGAAGGAGGGAGGGAGGGAGAGAGAGGGAGAGAGAGAGGGAGAGAGAGAGAGAGAGAGAGATTTCTAAAGTTTCCGATTGCTCAGTAGATAAGGTGGTTGGGACTAGAGCCTGTTTGCAATCCACACACAGATAGAAGATCCATTATCTTGAGATGCTCTGCACTAGAGTGTTTCAGAGTTTTCCAGATTTTGGAATATTTGCATAGACTTTGAAGCTTGAGGATTCCCAATCCTGAAATCGGAAGTCCCACGAAATTAAAAAGTTTTTGAACGACAATACGACACTCAAGCAGTTTCAGATTTTTGAGCATTTGGGATTTTCATCTTTAGGGATGCACTATCAGACCTGGTTTCCCATCACCCCACTCCCAAGATCAAGCCAAGGGAGGGAAAAAATGGACCAACAGTCTGGCAGCCCGAGGCCTGGCAAATCCCTCAGGCACATGACTTTGGAGCCCTTTCAATACAGGTTAAGAAATGCTCATGCCACAAAGATTGTTCATTTTTTGCACGTAAATTTTTCCAGAGTATAGAAGAATTTTGGATGTTGCTGGGCATTCACTCCTGGGGGATGTTCTTCATGTTGGTTAAAACAAGGAGGAAAAAAAAGCCAGACTAGAAAACTGATGAACAAAGACTGGAGAGAGGGCTCAGCTGAGAGTTGCCACCCTGGGCAGGTGCGGAACAAGGTGCAGGCAGGGACTGAATCCAGGAGGCCAGGGGGTGTGAGCAGCCACCGCTGGGCATCTCACCTGAGTGAAGTCAGTCTGCAGCCAGTGTAGAGGGGGCCAATACTGGTGTTCTTGAACACAGGGCCAAGCTGCCGGGGAAGAAGAGGGAGGTGAGTAAGAGGGTGGGGGCCCTGCAAGGTGGGGGCAGGCGGCTGGCCCTCGGCTCTTACTAGGCGCTGCAGGATGGCCTCGGTTGTGTTGAACTTGTCGGATCCTGGATGCCTCATGTCGGACACGTACTGTAGGTTTGTGATGATGAAGTTGAGGGTGAAGGGCATCAGGGCAGGGCTCACGGCTGCAACGGGAGAGTCTGTCTTGAGCTGGCATGAGCGCCCTGTCGGCTCCCCTCCAGCCTGCCCCCGGCCTGCACACAGGGCTCTGACCCTCCCCACCAGAGCTCCACACAGCTTGGTTCCAGTGCATGCAGGGACTACCACCTACATCACATCCAATCACTCTTTCCATTGGGAATTGGTTCTTCTCCCAGGAGCTCTGATTTGGAGGTACTCAAAAGTCACCCACCCCATGTTGACCCAATTATGTGACCAGGCTCATGTCCAGCAATTTCCTTTCCCCTTTCCCTCCCCTCCCTTCCTTCTCTCCATGAATATTTATTGAGCACCTACTCTACACCAGGAGGCACGGTCATGGCATTGGAACATAGAGTCCTGGCCACGAAAATAGAATCCATGTCAACTATTTCTAAAGAGGGAGCTTAATAGGAAAAACAAACAAACAAACAAACAAACAAACAAACAAACAAACAAAAAACGACAATAAAACACTGAAAGGGTCACAAAGAGATTTGCAGAGCCAGGAAGCCTCTCGTCCCACAGGACTGAAGGGACAAAAGCACAAGAGGGTGGCACACCAGATGTTGCTGAGAGCATGGAGGAGACACAGGCCTTGCTGGAGATGCTACACAAAACAGAGGGGGTGGGGGGAAGAAATGCCCTGGCTCATCTGCAGCCTTGCCCACCGCGGTCCCACCAGCGCCTCCTACTGGCTGAAACTAGCAGGGACTCAGCAAGGAACCTGGGAAAGGTAGTTTTCAAGGATCAGAGTCCACGGAGCAGAGGATGGGAAGGGTGGGGAATGAATACATTCCTAGAAGGGGGAATGGGCCTGTGAACAAATAAATACAACAAAATTGTTACAAGTACAGATGGCCCCTGGCTTATGATGGGTTTTGACTTTATAATGGTGCAAAAGCCATATGCATTCAGTAGAAAATGCACTTTGAGTTCTTTTTTTTCCTGGGCTAGTGGTGTGAGGTATGAGACTTTCTCAATACACTCAAAATTTCATTATAAAATAGGATTTGCCATAGATGACTTTGTCCAACTGTAGGTTAGTGTTATGTGCTCTGAGCACATTCAAGGTAGTCTGGGCTCAGGCAGAATGATCGTAGGCTAGATATATTAAATGCATTCAACTTGTGATATTTTCATCTTATGATGGGTTTTTTTTTGGGATGTAAACCCATCCATCCTAAGTCAAAAAGCGTGAAGGACTTAAAAACCTCAACAGTGTACGATTTAGTTCAAAGAGTCGGAAAACCTCGCATTTGTGTGAAACCTGCAGGAAGAAGAGGAGTCAGCGGTACAAGCCGATGGAGGGAAGTGCTTCATGCAAAGGCAGAGCAAGTGCAAAGCCCAGGAACTTGGAAAGAGCTTGCTGTGTTGGAGCAATATCCACATTGCAGCAGAAGGGTACAGGAGGAGGAGAAGTCAAAAGGGCATCAACGATGAAGTCCTTCAGGGGCCTGTGTATCATGGCGAAGGAGCTATTTCATCAAAACAACAACGTGAGGTGGGAGGAAGGTTTTGCCTTGGAAAGTGCCACGTTCTGACGTAGAGTTTAACAAGCTGCCTCCGGTCGCTGGGTGGAGAACAGGGGCAGGACACCACTGCTGGTGTCTGGGACAGGCAAGGTGGCTGGGAGGACTGCAGGAGTGGCAAAGAGAATGAAGAACCCGGCTATGCCCTGGACCATGGATGGTGGTGGTTAAAAAGTGGAGTTAAGGGAAAGGAAGGGGCCTGGACATGCTCCAGTTTCTTTAGAAATGAATTCCTTCTCTTGAAATGTCATCCTATTTCTCTGTACCGGGGGCTCTCACTATCCACCCCGTCCTCCAATATGGCAATGAGGCACATAGCAGTTATATTGAATTAGGTACCATAAATCATCTAGAGATGATATTTAAAGTCTATGAAGGATATGTGTAGATGCTATGAGGGACTTGCCATTTATATAAGGGACTTGAGCACTCTTGGATTTTGGTATTTTCAGGAGGTACTGAAACCAATACCCTACAGAAATCGAGGGACTACTGGGCTGACAGCTTCACTACGTGAGAGCCGACCATGTACCAGGCCCAGGCTGAGATTGTCTCCTGACAATCTGTCTACATCCAGAGCTTGTACTATTAATTCCAACCTTATTCAACCTCTCCCTAGACCCTGAGGCACCCATGGTGATATTTTGACCAGGAAGTAACTGTGGCTCAGGGAAAATGAAAACAAAGTCCACGAGTAGAGATCAATCTAGACTGCCACAGCCCAGGCTTGCTGAGGCCCCTTTCTGGCTGGTGGCTGGGTGGGGGAGCAGCTGGGATCCAGTCACACCCGGGCGAGGCTGAGCTGAACCTCTCAACCTGCAGACACTTTCTAGGAAAACCAAAGAGGCTCCCCGACACCCTCAGGGTCTTAGACTCTTGTGACAACTCCAACTGACCTGGCAGCCATTGCCTAGGGTGTTTGGTGGATGCTTTTATCAACTAGTGATGTCTGCCATGGAAGGGGGAGCGGCCACATAGTTGTCCTGGGTAGAATCTGACAGAATGGTGATACATTTGAACCAGGGAGGAAAAGGAGCATTCCCATACACAACCAGGACATTTCCATAAGCTTCCCTTCTTTTCAAAGGAGAATGCATCTTTTTCCTATAGCTCTACCGTGCACGAGGCCCTGGGTTGAAACTGGCGAAGCACAAAGGAGCAAGACACCCTTGCTCTATCCAGAGGGTGTACTTGATGTTGGCGTCAATGGAAGGAAACCTAGTGTTCAAAGGCACCTTGCTCATGAGTTTTGCAGTAGGCTTATTTCTAAAAAATCAGCCCACTTAAGATTAAATTAAAAGTGATAACAGCTTTCCACGCCTCTCATCTCTAATGACAGAAAGTTTTAAAAGAGAGCATATTAGATGATGCCACTTAGATGCAGAGTACGGCTCTCAGTGAATGTTCAACACTCAAAAATTTCAGGTTTTTTCTGTTACTTTTGTTGAATCATCATTGTCATCAATGCCATCTCTGTCACCATCACCACCATTATCGTCATCATCACCACCACTGTCACCATCATGACCACCACCATCACCATCGTTGACATCACCATCATTAGCATCACCACCATGATCATCACCACCACCATCACCACCACCATTATCCCTATACCATCATCATCAGTACTGACATCATCACCATCAACACGAAGTTCAACACCATCATTATCATCACAAGAATATAAATTCTCAGAGAGCATTGACGATCTGCTTTATGTTCCCCAGTGTATCTCCAGGGCCTGGCACAACACAGGTGCTCCATTAGATTGTTAGTTGATTCATCGTCACTAGGCTTACTATGATTTTCCATCTTTAGTTGATTGTATAATGTCAGAGACGTTCACACTCATCAGGACCTCTCCAACAGAGAGGCCAAGAACTGGTATTTACCTGTGTGGCTGGGGAAGGAGAATGGAGACTCAGAAGTTCTCAGGTCCACTGTGGAGATCCTAGGAGCTGAGGAGAAGCCCTCATTAGTGAAATCAGCAAGGCACCCTTAGGGTAGAAATGCCAGAAGGAGGGACTATTTACAGGGTTTGTGGCATGGAGGCTTGAACTTGGACTCTCTCTGAAGCTGGGCAGAGCAGAGGGTAAAAAAATTCTGCTCTCTCTACAGGCATTGGTGGTGCATACCTGTAATCTCAGTGACTTGGGAGGCTGAGGCAGGAGGATCAAAAACTTGAGGTCAGCCTGGGAAACTTAGCAAGACCCCGTGTCAAAATAAATAATAATGATAATAAATTAACTTTTCTCTCTCAGATCTTTTTGCTTCTGGATAGAACAAGGAGGACATGAGGAAGGGTCAGACCCTGCTCTGCTTGGTGGGGATGGGTCACTGGAACATCAGCGGGTACTCACTGCTGGTGACGAGGGAAGAGCTCCAATGGGTGAAACCTGCAGGGAAAAGGAGGGGTGGTGGACAAGGGTTAGGGCAGGGGTAGTGTTCTAAGAAGGGGTCAGGGACTCCGGGGTGCAGTGGAGGGGCTTCATGAAGCAAGGGCTGTAGAGGATTCTTCATCAGGACCCTCATGTCAGGGAAGAAGGTCCTGAGGGTTAATACGTTCAAGAGGAGAAGAAACCATCCAGACTGAGCACAGGGCCAAGTCCACAGGGCCAGGAAAGGAGTGTGGTCAACAAGGAGGACTCCAACCCCCTCCAGCTGCTCACCATTGACATAGAGACTGTCCTTGTCCAGGGTGTAAGGTCCCAGCCGGGTGATGTTATAGGTCAGCTGGCTCAGCTCCCAGTACAGTCTTTCTCGGTCCAATATGTGGCCTTTAGGGTCAGGGCGATGAGTGCAGATCAGGTCCACTCTGGTGGCTGCCCCGTCCTTCTCAGGCCTGGATAAATATCGTACATGGTCCAACTACTCTCCGTTCTACCCTCTTTTTCTTTGCCAGTTCCTGACACAGAAACTGGGGAAACCCTCGTTAACAAGGAAGCTGCTGTCCGCATGGAAACGCCCACCGTGAACAATTATTAGGATCAAAATGCCAGTCCCCTGGAGCACCGGACACACAACAGACGCAGAGGGGGGCTGTCCATGGGGACAAGCCATCCCAGGGATGTCAGGATAGCCGAGTCCTAACACAGGTTCTGATGGACACAACACGGTGCTCAGGGTCAGGGTGTAATGGGCAGCAGGACTCCCAGGAAGGTGACCATAGCACAGTGAGTGACATTGTCCTTCAGAGAGCTGGCATCAGAGGCTAAAGTTCCCCTCTCTAGATCCTATGGAATAGCAGGGTTGGGACACTCCTAAGGAGGCTAGGTTGGTAAAGGACATGGGAGAGATGGCTGTTTGGTGGGTCTGTCTGAAACCATGGCTGGTCCAACCTGAGGTCACAAGGTTTGATGACCCCACATGCATCTTTAGCTACGGGATGCAGACCCATCTGCCCAGCCACCCCTCTTATAGAGAGCAATTCAGAGGGAAAGGGGCTCCAGAGCTTGGGAGGTTGCCTCCCAGGGCAACAACTACCATGTATTAAATAATTAATGCAACAGACCCAGTGCTCTGTTCACAGTCGCTTCACTTCATTCTTAAAGCATTCCTATGGGCTGCTGTTGCTCCATTCCCACAATGATGATTAAACCTCTATATTACATACAACCAAGTACATGTGGTTTAAAATATAATCTAGGGATAGGTAAATATGAACTTAATATGTAAATATATGTGGTCTATGTATTTTATATATGATTATATTATGTATAATTATATTATAGATTAGGCTGTTATACATTATATTTGTGCCTAAATATTTATATTAAACTAGCATATATATATATATATATATATATATATATATATATATATATATATATATGATATATACACACACATAGATATATCCCCTCCCACGTGGTTGTCCTTCAGTATCTGTCAGGGATTGAGTCTGGGGCCCCCAGGGATACCAAAATCCTTAAATGCTCAAGTTCCTTGAATAAAATGGAGTATTTGTATGCAACATATCCTCCTATAGACTTTAAGCCCTCTCTAGAACACTTCTAATACCTAGTGCAATGTATTTAGGTGTTATATTTTGTTATTTAGGAAATCATGAATAAGTCTGTACATGTCCAGAATGGGTGCAGTTATTTTTTCTGACTTGTCAATCCATGGTTGGTTGAACCCACAGATCTGAGGCATGTATCATGGGGAAATGGAGGAGCAAGGTTTGGGCATTTTGCCTGAGTCACAGTCATAGACTGTAGTAAATAGCAGAGTTGGGGCTGGAGCTTAGGTCTCTGTGACTTTGAGGCCCTTGGCCACTAGACCCCCTTCCCCCTTTTTTCCTGGGGAGAGAGGAGAGCTGGGGGTAGATGACTATGAGAAAACAGGAATCTCTCAAGAGCGGGACCTAGAGCTTCTTTGAGAGATGTGGGATGTTGGGGAGAAAGGTCCAGTAGTCTCTAACCCAGGCTGCCTGCTCTTCCTAGCTCTCCAGGGACAGTGTCCATCCCACCTCCCACCCACCCCAGGGCAGGGCAGGTCCTGAGGGCTGAGTCCGGCCCACTTGGGAGTCTCCCTGTGACACTCTGCTCGCCTTTCCTCTCGCGACTTTCCACATCTGCAAGGCCAGAGCTTGGGCAGAGGGGGCAGCACAAACCCGGGGCTGGGAGTCTGGATCTAGAACCTGAAGCGCTGGGGTTGCTCTGTGTGATCTTCCACAAGCCACTTGTTCCCTCCGAGCCTCAGTTCTGTTCCCCTAACAGCTTCATGAGGCTCTTGATTGGATAGACAAAATGTTAAACTGGAAATACACAGCACAGCGCTTTGGGTCATAGTAACAGCCGCTGGTGGTGCTGTTGATGCGTAGTGTCCATGGTCAGTAGTGGTTCCAAGTGTGGACAGTCAGGGAGCCCAGAGCTTAGGGTCCCATCCACCTGTGCAGCTGGGTTTTTCCTGGGGAGGAGCTCACCTGAGCGTGGATAATCGGCAGCCCGAATAGAGGTATCCCACACTGCTGTTCTTGAATATGGTTTTGAGCTGCGAGAGGGGAAAGGGGAAGTGAGAAGGAAACCACCAGACAAACCTGCAGGAGCTGCAGCATCGGTGGGCGGGGCGGGGCCGGGTGAGGTGGGTGGGGCTGGAACCCGTCTGGGGGTTGTGGGCGGGGCCAAGCGAGGTGGGCGGGGCTCTCACCAGGTACTGCAGGGTTCTTTCCGTGGAGCTGAACTTTCTGGAGCCCGTGTTCTGCATGTCCTCCTCGTACTCCAGGTTGGTGATGGTGAAGTTGAGGGTGAATGGCAGCTGGAAAGGGACCGCCACCGCAGCTGGGGAGCAGAAACAGAGACCGCATGTATGGCAGACCTAGTCTGGGCCCCAAGACAACTTCAGAGGACCTGGCTGGAGGGTTTGCAGCCGGCAGGACAGGAAGAGGGACAGCCAGGTAGGGAGGAAAGCCGGGTGTTGGAAACTGCCGCAGAAGTAGGTTAGAAGCCCAGATGCAGATTAAGGAACCCATCAGGGTGGCCAGGGATTGAGTTCTGGCCCTAACAGGTTCTGGAGAAAGAGCTAAAAGGAACAGGATTGGGGAAATGTCATGGTTGGGAGTATAAGGGAAAAATTCAATTCAGTCCCACTTAACATGTAACAAACTATTTTTTTTTTTTGAACATCCGCCGAACAGCAGTCCTTAAAGGAGATCCTCTCTCACCTACTGAACTGGCTTACCCCGGGGCACCCCCTCCCATGGCTCCCAGAACTTGTCCATTAACAGAGAGGCCACTGAGAGCTTTGTTACTGTGGTTACGGCCACACGGCTGAGTGGGGTCTGGTTTCAAATTCCCTCTCTGCCCCTCACCATCCGGATGACTGTGGACAGTTTACCTGCCTGAACCTCAGTTGTTTCCACTGTAAAGGGGGGAATCTTACACTTTGTAGGGACCCTACTTTGTAGGGACATGATGAAAATGAGATGACTGTTTGTTAGAGAGTCAGCACATCTCAAGGGCATCGCACAAGAACAAAATAAAGCTGATCCCCAAAGGCCCAACTGGCATATTTCCATTTCCATTTATTTTATATTTGTATTTAATTATTTTTTTTTAAAAGGAAACATTTTTTAATTTTATTTATTTATTTTTATGTGGTCCTGAGGATCGAACCCCATGCCTCACGCATGCTGGGCAAACGCTCTACCACTGAGTGACAACCCCAGCCCTGTATTTAATTTTTCTCAAAATAAAATTATATAGAGAGAGCACAGATCCGTGAGTGCCAGAGTGTGGGCTGCGTGAGCATGACTGTACAGGAGTAACTGGAGGGAGATCCTCGTGGGGCTGGAACAGTTCTGTCTCTTGGTTGTGGGGGTGGTTACAGGAATCTGCCCATATGATAAAATGGTCACACACACACACGCCCACACACTCAGGAGTGCATGTAAGAAACTAGTAAAATTTGACTGAGGTCTTGATTTTAACATATGATTTCGATACTGTATTAGAGTTATGCAAGGTGTAGCCACTGGGGAAATTGGATGAAGAGTTTAGGGGAACTGCCTACTACTTTTACAACATTCCCTGAACCTATAATTATTTATTCAAAGTGAAAAGCTGAGAATTGAAAGAATACAGCATGTGTGAGGACACACAGGAAGTGCTGAATACTATGGCTCTGTCTTATTATCAGTTCTACCTGGATGGACCTTCCAGGTGACCCAGGGCACTAACCCCAGGGAAGGACCATATCTGATTTCCTCAGTGTCCTATCCCCATGCCCAGTAGAGAACAGGCGCCCCATAAATACTTGTCAAACTCAAATTTCCTGCCAGCCCTATGCGAGGTTCTTACATATAGAGTGTACCTACACAAGTAAGATGGCTACAATGTCACTGGGCGATATAATCTCATGGGACCACTGTCCCATGTGTGATCCATCCTTGACTGAAATGCTGTCACTGGTCACATAACTGTCTTTTCATTGAACATTCATAACAAACTTAGGAAATGTTATAGCTCCACTTGGCAGATGAAGAAGGTAAGTGCCCAAGGTCAACGTGGCTAGGGAAATGAGGAGCACAGGTCCCCTGGCTCTTGCGTTCACAGAGGAGCAGGAGGTGGCTGTGGCAGCTCCCGGCCACCCCCCACACTGCCCTTTCCCCCGCATCTCCCAGGTCCTCGCTTTGAGGCTGTGCACGCTGACTTCCCGGAAGAGGTTGGAAAGAGAAGTCACCCACCTGTAGAGCTGGAGAGGTGGGCGTGCGCCGTGGAAGTCGTTGGGAACAAAGTAGAGCTCACAGCGGCTGAGGAGAAACAGAATGGAGTGAGGAGGGGGATCCGGGCTGGGCACGGGTGCCACCATGAGTCTCCCTGACAAGCCCGGGCCACTGAGTGTGTGGGGGTGGGTGAGACAGTCCACTGGTTTCTTTTCTCTCCACATCCCTGGACTCAGGGTGGGAGAACTCAGCTGTTCACAAGAGGTTTGTGCACACGGTCATCAAGGATAAGTACTCACTGCTGAGAGAGGGACCCGAGGCCTGATGGTTATAACCTGCAACCAGAAAAGGAGACAGGGTTGGAGTGCAGGCAGGAGAAGGTGCCCATCCGTCCCCATCTGCAGCAGAGGCTTCAGACGGGCTCAGTGGAATACTTAGGATCTGGGAGTGGCCGTGTGCTTTCCTAAAAGAGAAAAGCTGGAAACCCAGTCTCTGTCTTCATGGGCTTGCAGTTATTTGGGGAGATAAATACCCCCCCCCCATTCTTATGGTGTATATTTGCAAGCTGTGCTTTTCAGGATCTCGAGGGGATTTTGAGACACCGATGGGGAGAAAGGTGAATGGTCAGACTCTGGAATCCCCGTTGGCTTCAGCAAGAGGGATATTTTCTTTCATGCATTTGAATAAAAGGCTTTTGTGGCTCAGACAGGTGCAGGTCACAGCCCTGGAATGTGGAGTTATGAGGGAAAGAGAAGGACTTGCAAACTTGAGGGCTCATGGGAGCCTTCTGGTTACTCAAGGGGGGCTGTTTAGGTGGAGGACAATTCACAGGACAGGTCTGTGGCAAACTGGAAAGTCTGCACCTCTTCTTAGGCGCGGATTCTCAGCTTTGGCTTGTGGTTACTAAAGGCTGCTCACCATTGACATAGAGACTGTCCCTGTCTAGGGTGAAGAAGCCCAGCTGGGTGACATCGTGGGTCTCATGGCGCAGCTCCCAGTACAGCTTCTTTCTGTCCAGCTCGAGGCCCATGGGGTCAGGACGGTAGGTGCAGACTGCGTCCACTCCGGTAGCTGTTCTGTTTTTCTCAGGCCTGGGCAGAGAGGGACATAGGGATGGGGTGGTGGAGACTCTTCCATTGAAGGAGGGGATAAAGAAGGTGGGGGGGGGGTGCTGGGCAATCAAGTGGCCTTGGGCTGGAAATGGATAGGACAGCCATGGTCCCCATACAAAGAGGATGTGGCATCTGTAAATGTTGATATTTGTTAGGCACGGTGGTGCACACCCTAGCATCTCAGGAGAGTGAGGAAGGAGGATCACAAGTTCAAAGCTGGCCTCAGCACTTAGCAGGACCCTGTCTCAAAATAAAAAAAATATAAAAAAGGGCTAGGGATGTGGCTCAATGGTTAAGCACCCCTTGGTTCAATCCCTGGTACCAAAAAAAAAAAATTCAATATGTGTACTAAACTTTAACATGACATCAGCAACAAGACCTCACAAACCCTGAAGACAGAAACAGGATGAAAGGGGTGGAAGAAAGGAATCTGGGAATTCGGCAAGGTAAAAGAAGGCAGTGTCCACTTGTTTAAATCTCAGTTCCGCCACTCACTCACTGGGTGACTCTGGGTAAATGTCCCAGCCTCTCTGTGCCTCATTTTCTTCATCTGTGAAATGAGGCCACAGTGTAGACCCAATGGCACTTAACATTTGTGTAAGTGCTCAATACAAGCCTTCCTCCTTGTCTCTCAGGAAGGAAAGAATCCAGGGAGCCCACATTTTTTATTTCGCTTCTGGAAGGAAAGGACTTGAATGGGAGCTGGGAGTCAGCTGCCCTCAGGACAGGGGGTGCAGGGTGCTGGGGCCCAGCTTGTGGTCATCTCCCCCGTGGCCTGCTTATCTCTCTGGAGCACTCACCTGAGTAAGGTCAGTTTGCAGTCAGAATACAGGTGCCCGATACTGCTATTCTGGAACACGGGCCTGAGCTGGGGACGAGAGGGAGGGAGGGAGGTGAGCTGGTGGGACAAAGGGCTGGGGACAAGACTGAGATGGGACGGTGAGCATGGGCGCACTCTCACCAGGCGTTTCAAGATCCTCTCTATGGTCTTGAATATCTCAGATCCTGGGGGCTCCATGTCCTTTGTGTAGTTCAGGCTGGTGATGGTGAAGTTGAGGGTGAAGGATACCAGGTACGAGCTTGTACCTGCAGCTGGAGAGAGAGGGGGCCGTGGCTCATTCTGACCTCCGTGTCTGGGGTGGTGGGGTGAAGGGCCAGTTGTGTTGGTTGTGCCACAATCTCTAGAGCTTTTGTATCTTGCAAAACTGAAACTCTATATTAAATTAATTTCTTTAGCAACATATCTTCAAGTTTTAACATGGATCAGAATTTTTTTTTTTCCTTTTTAGGACTAAATAGTATTCCATTGCACAGGTGCGTTCCATTTTTGTTTACCCGTTTGTCTGTCAGTGCACACTTGGGTTGTTCGTTATCTTTTGGCTATTATGGCTAATGCTGCTGTGAACGTGGATGTGCCAATAGAAAGATGTTTATTTCTGAACTAAAGAGACATTTTCTCTGTGCCAAATCTTTGTCTCCTCGATGACATAAGGTTAGTGATTGGGCCCCTAGAGTGTGGCTCAGGCTTAAGAGTTTGGATGGGACAGTTTTCATGGCATAAAGAAAGCCCCACAAGTTTCTAAAGGTTTCTAAAGCTTCGGGAGCCCTCAGACCCACATCTGGGCAAAACGAGGGGACAGGGCAAGAACCAGACTCCTGATTTAGATTTTTAACGATTTGCTGATGTCTGAGTTGAATCCACAAATAACATACAGAGGTGGCTTCTTTCATTCATGGACTCGTTCAAACAATTAATAGGAAGTGGGTGTTGACTGGGTGCTGAGTTCCCGGGGACAAACACAAAGGGGGATGGGACGGTGCAAACCCTTGGGAGCAAGGTGGGAATACAGGGAAGGTGCCATTCCACAGCAGGGGGCTTGGGAACGTTTGGAAAATAAGGAGGTACGAGGGAAGGGGGTGGCCAGTCTGCAGAAACAGCGAGGAGTGGAGGTCCTCAGGTGGGACAGTGCCAGGAAAGCAAGCACATCTGTGGGGCGGCCAAAGTGGGGGAGCGAGGGACAGAGTGGCTAGAGAGCCGGGGGCTGCTGGTCAGCAGGGGCCAGACCCCGTGCCAGAGACCCCAGAGAGAGGTTCCTGCCTAGAGCTGGGGTCGGGGAGGTAGGAAGTCCTGGAGAGAAGGTGGAAGTCCCTGGAGGAACAAGGGACAGGAGGGAGTGTGTGGAAATTGGCTCCATCCTCAAAGCGTGTAGGGAGGAAGCTGTTAATTGGATCCTGGGCTCTGTCCGGAATCTGCAGGGCTCGGGGGAGGGCACCGTCGGGTTCTCTCCCATGAGCTCTAAGAGAGGAAAGCTCCTGGGGACATTGGGGGGATCTGTCGCAGCTTTGAATACTCACTGCTGGTGGTAAGGGCCAAGGACCGTTGGTTGTAACCTGCAGAGGCGGAGACAGCAAGAAAGGCCTGTTAGGATGGGCACAGCAAAGGCGGGAGAAGGTGGCAGCCCCGGAGACCCGAGTCCTGAAGACACTTATGAGACGGGAAGACAAGCAACGTTTTCCTGGGTCCCTGTTCTGTGCCTTGTTCTTTGACGGTGGGATGCACACCATCACCATCGTTTTTACTGAGAGTTGATAACAAGAGGTGCCTGTGGTAACCAAGAGGGACCTGCCGGGCCCTGGTGACGGTGCTTCACTCGAGGTCAAAACACACTCAGGGACATTTTCTCCCTCCATAAGGATAATTTGATTCTATCTTTGCTCTCTCAGCTTCGTCTCCTTCACAAAATTTGGTGATGGTAGGGTCTTTTTCTAGCTTAGTGTCTGGGTTTTGGGGATGTGGAATTGACAAAGTTGTGGCGAATTGAGGAGGGGCACGGGGAGGTGAAAATATGGAAGAGATGGAGGAAGAGAGTGGCATGCATGGTTTGGAATATTAAGAACAATTTGGATAATGGCATGGGATGGTGTAAAGGGAGAGAGAGACTTGAGGGTCAGATGGATGTTATCGTGGTTGGAGCCTAGAAGCAACTGGGGAGAAGATTGGATTTTTTTTGTTTGGCCTGGGTCATGGTTGGCATTTCTTCTGATCCTCAATGGGAGATGAAAGATTGGCTCCAGAGGAGGCCTGAGATTTACTAGGGTTATTCCTGAATGATCTCATGTGATGACCCAGAACAATCCCACGTGATATTTTTACCCCATTCTGCAGGCGTAAAACACTATAAACCCTAACACTGAGACGGTAACAGGACTTGTCCTGCATCACACGAAACAGAACCGTCACTCTGCAGCGTCCACACTGTTCACCACTGCTGCAAGTTAGTTGCAATTTTGGAGCAAACCTTCTAAGGGCCAAGAGTAATGCGTGCTACAGATAATACAAAGAAGTATAGGTATTGCAAACCAGGCATAAAGGAAAGTGGATAAAGTGGATAGAGATGGGAGAAAACTACGCATTTGGTTAGTCTGTTAAGCTAGAGGTCACCAGATGCCCCTGCCTGTCCTTCTGTTTGGGGCTTGCTCTATTTGGATGGTCTGCTGAGTTTCCTGGTTTAGCTGTGCCTCCAGTCCTTGGGTAACATCTTCATTTTGCCATGCGTTATAATTGGGTGATCCCTGGGCAAATGACTTCCTCCCTGAATGGACAGTGGCTCTAGGTCAAAACGAGTATCACTACTCCCAGAGTCTTGCGTGAGATTAACATGAAACAATACAAGCCAAGTCCTCATCACCGTTCCTGGTGCACAGGAAACTTTGAATAAATGGGAGCCGCAGTTGTGGTCTTTACTCTTGGCAGTAGTGTTGTAGTGTGGGTATTTTTTGGCTATGATGTGTCAACAGCTACCATTCCTGATGTATTGACCGAGGGTGGTGATGTTTCCAGAGGGCAGTGTGAGTCAGCTGGCTCTTGGGGCCTGAGAATGTGCCTTACGTTGTCACAATGAACAGAAAAAAGTGGAGTGAGGGCTGAACTTGAACTAGGCCCCTGAAGACTCTGGGGGGAGACACTTAACCATAGGACTCTGCAGCACCCCATGTCCCCTGCATCATCTGGGTGCTCCCGCTGGGCTTTGTGGAAGCAGATGAGAATAAGAGACATTTCATCTCCGAAGGTGGAAGGGGAGAAGAAATCAGCCTCTGTTAGTGTGCTGACCGTGGAAAACGAGCTCTCGAGGAGACCTGGGTTTGTGTCAGAGCTGTTTTGCTCTAGTTAACTCTTCATAGAATCTTGTGCTTTCTAGGTTAGGGGCACCCTGTCCTCTACCTAGTAGATGCTATGAGCATCCCTACAGGGGTCACATGAAAATGTCTCCAGACATTGCCTAATGTCCCCTGGGTTGCAAAGTCACCCCCAGTCAAGAACTACTAGTAGAGAGAGATCTGGGTCTGTGGAGACCCCTGTTGTAGTGGTCACTCACCATTGATATAGAGGCTGTCTCTGTCCAGGGTGTAGGGGCCCAGCCGGGTGATTCCGTGGGTCAGCTGGCTCACTTCCTGGTACAGCTGCTTTCGGTCCAGACTGGGACTCATGGGGTCAGGATGGTAGGTGCAGATGGCATTCACGGTGGTGACCGCCTCACTCTTGGACCTGCCATGACAGGGATGTGGGAGTGGGGACACCCAGATTCGTGGGAGAGCCACGTCTCTCCTTCAGTCCGAGCCCCTCCTGATTTCGTGACCCCTCTCTGTGGGTCGTGTCTGGTTTCTCAGACACATTCCTGTCTGGTCCTTTGTGCAGGCTCCCTGCCTGTCTGTAAACTGGTTGATCTCCAGAGCCTCATCCTCAACCAACTTCTCCTTTTTGGATCCCCATTCTTCTTGGCTAACACCCACCGTGTCAGGTACCAGCTCATGATCATAAGACACAATTGCACTTTAAAGAGACTTCTCTCCTGAGCATCACTTCATGTGACCAACAGCCTCAAGGATGCCCTCAGACCCCTTTGATCCTGTATTTCCCAAGTTCAGCTTATCATCTTGTCCCCCTGAAATACAAAGCCTGCTCCTTCCCCATGTTTCTCTGTCCGTGTCAGTGCCAGAGGTCTGGAGGCCTCCCGGACCTCCTCGTAGCATTTCTCCCCGCGGCCACGGTGCACCCAGGTCCCTTCTATCTTCTCAATGGCCTGCTCAACTTTCCTGATCCAGCATCATTTTAAATGATCCCTGACCACATTTGCTAATGCCTTACTTAAAACAAGCCACATCATGCCAATCAGAGCTGCACTGACAACTCCAGAGACCCCCCCAGCTCTGAATAAAACTATGACTAATATTTACAAGACAACTACTAGGTGATAATATTTATGGGTCAACTTTTACCGGGTACTCGACTTTTTGCCGTGGCTGTCCCACTTTATCTTGTCAACAACTCTACGAAATAGATATGGATGCTATTCCTGTTTCTTAAACATTTTAAATTACAGCTTTATTGAAATATGATTCGATGTTTTGACACCCGTATGCATTACTTGCAGTCAAGCTCATTAACATTTCCATCGCTTTACATAGCGCTTTTCTCTTGTGTGTGTCTCTGTGTGGAGAATACTCAAGATCTACCTAGCAAATTTCAAGTATGCGATGCAGCGTCATTAACTCTATCCATGCTCATTTTATCACTGAGGAAACAAAGTCACATACATAGTAAAGAATTTCCCAAACATCATATAGCTAGGGTCAGAAACAGAGTGTGATGTAACACATTTGGACACCAGAGACTATTTGTGTGTCACCTCATTGCTATACAAAACACGGTGACAACTCCTTGGTATGGCCTGGGGTCTCCACCCTGGGTCTCCTCTCAGGATGCTGTTTCTCCACTGCCCCAGCAGCTGTGATCTCAGCCATCCACACAGTTCCCAGGCAACCCACCTCCTTCCTCCCTTCTCTATCCCCCGCTTCTCTCCCCCTCCCTCTTCCCCTCCCTCCCTCCCTTCCTTCCTTTCTTTTCCATTCCTTGATCTGTCCGCTGTTTGTCCCTCCCTCTCCTCCTATTTCACTGAACTTTGCCACACATCATGCTCTTTCTCACATGTGCCATTACTCACGATGGCCCACCCTTGAAATGCCACCTTGGCCAGTGCTTCCTCTGGCTAATGTACACTCAGCTGTCAAAACCGGCCTCGGGCATCACCCTCTCTGGGCAGCCTCTACCCAGCACCTCTGTGATGAGCTCAAAGTCCACGCTCTGGGCTCCTGTGGCCCCCGTGTAGAGTTCAGTGGTCACAGGAACCCTGCTCACGTTATGGTTTCAGTTCATGTGGCTGCTTGCCTCTCTCGAGTTGGGGCACCTAGAGGGAAGGACTCACGGTCCACCTCAGTGTCCCCAGTACCATTGCAAGAATGGCCTAAGCTGTCATTCCTGTTTGCTAATGAGTTGGTGCTGCCCTTGCTGATCCATGAACCTGCTTGCTCCATTCTCTGCTTGTCCAAATAGCTGAAGGCCAGCTCTTTTGGGAATCCCTCTCTTTAATGCTCTTAGCCAAAGAGAGTGTCTTCCATGTCTGAGTTCCTGGACGGCCGCAGCCATTTATGATCCTTGCTGTCTAGGGACCAGGCTCAGGCCCTCACCTCCAGGTAGGTTTGCCTGTGACAGCACAGTCCCTCGTGATGTGATGGAGGGAAGACTCACCTGAGCAAAGACAGTCTGCAGCCAGAGTAGCTGGAGCCGATGCTGGTGTTCCTGAACACAGACTCGAGCTGGGAGGAAGGACAGGGAGATGAGTGGGGTGGGCTGAGGGGCCTGGTGGGGGATAAGACACAGCAGGCCCCTGTAGGCATTGGCTGGCTCTTACCAGGCGAATCAGGGCCTTCTCCGTGGCGTTAAAGTTCAAGGAGCCTGGGCGCCCCATGTCTGGGGTGTAATATAGGTTGGTGATTGTCAGGTTCAGGGTAAATGTCACCATGACCGGTTGTAGACCTGCAGCTGGAGGACAGGGGAAAGAGAGCCTGTCGGGTTAGTGCCGAGCTGGGTGTGGGCTGAAGAGCTTAACCGTCTCTAGAGTCACAGTGTCCACCAGGTGAGGCCTGGGATAGCCCATTTGGGCTAGCCTGCAGCCAACCAGAGAGCGAGGTGAAAGACCTCCAGGGTGGATGTGTGACTTCAGCTCAGAAGAGAACCCCAGTCCTCTCAGCCCAGAAGGACAAGGTTGACAAGTCAGGGACTTCTCGTTGATAAGAGGAGGAGCCGAGACCTTTTGTTCTTAGGTCTTGGGCCACAAATACTTGAGCAGTAAAAAAATCCAAATAGTAATAATGACCATGAAGGAAAAGAGCACAGAGGTGTGTATGGGATGTGAAGTGGGGACGTTCCCTGACAGGTACATGCTGGGCTGAGACCTGCAGGACAAGAAGGAACCAGCAGATGAATTCCAAGGGCAGGAAATGCAATAACCCTAAAGAGAGAGGGATGCGTGGACCCTGGAGGAATAGAAATGAGGCTGCTACGGCAGAGGTGAGGCAGCAAGGGGCAGAGTGAGGCAGGCTGAGGCAGGGGACATTGGTTCCAGACTGTGCAGGTATCCATCAGCTGCTGAATGGGGGATGAAGTTTCGGGGGACCCAGAGTCCAGACTCCTACCTGTAGAGCTGGAAATAGGGGTCACAGATGTTGGGGATCCTAGAGGGTATGTGGAGGTCACTAGATCTGAAAGAAAATACAACACAAATAAAGATTACTGAGCTTCATTGGGAAGCCACAAGAGAACCAGCTGTTAATGGGAACTTGGGGCTCTACTTGGTCCATCCTGAGACCTTTGACTGGCCCGGGGCCTCTCTGGAGCTGAGAACCCAGGGGATGGGGCACACTACCTCAGGCTTGGGGAGGAAGGGTACTGGGGCATGGGGACTTTAGGGCCACCCATACTCACTGCTCTTGGTTGAAGCCCAGTACTGATGGGTGTAACCTGCAGAGGGAGGGAAGAAAGAGTGAGATGCTAGGAGGAGGCTTGGAAAGGGTGAAGTCATGTGGTCATCTATTTTTAGTTTTCTGAAGACTCTCCATGCGTAATGGATGTGCTTCACATTCCCACCAACGGTGCCTAAGAGTTTTCCTTTGTCCATACCTTTACCACCACTTTCTTTTTTCTTTTCTGGAAATAGCCGTTCATCCCAACTAGGGTTGTAGCAATGCCCCTTCCTCCACCAAAGAGTCTTAATTAAGCTTTTCCAGAAACCCTCCCCATAATTGTTCTTATTAACAGAATATTAGCGAAAATTTCTGCCAAAAAACTCAAGGTGGGTTAGGACTTCCTATGCCTTTGTGAGGACTAAGTTGCTCTGTCTTGCAAAAGCTAAGTTTGGCTGCAGACTTGATGATGTCTTGTAAAAACCTCTGACTAATCTAAAAAAGGGGACAAAAAGCACTTTCTATGAACTCAAAAAAAAAAAAAAAAAGAAAGAAAAGAGAATACTTTTATGTAGACTTCTACAAAAATGTAAACTTCCAAGGCTCCCTACCCTTTTTTAGGCACGAGCCTTACTTTGAACTAGTGCAGCCACTAAACCTGCTTCCTCTTAATTCCTGGGTGCCCAGCTGCACCTGTCCTGCATCAGGGTGAGATGCTATCTCATTGTGGGCTGATTTGTATTTCCCTGGGGACATTATGTCCAGTGAAATAAACCAGACAAAGAAGGACGTGTACTGCATGTTCCCACTCGTGTGGAAGCCAAGAAAGTTGATCTCAAAGAGGAAGAGAGTGAAATAGTGATTGCTGGAGGCTGGGAGGGGTAGAGGGCCATTGGATAATAAATATCTCAGTATAGTTAGATATGAGCTGGGCACAGTGGCGGGCGCCTGTAATCCCAGCAACTGGAGGAGCTGAGCAGCAGGGTTGCAAGGATCCCCAGCCTCAGCCACTTAGCAAGGCCCTAGGAAACTTAGTGAGACCTTGTCTCAAAGTAAAAATTAAGAAAAAAGGGCTGGGGATATGGCCTAGTGATTAAATGTCCTTGGGTTTAAACCCTGGTACCAAAAAAATAAATAATAAATAAATAGAGTTAGATATGAAGAATAATTTTCATATTCTACACCACAGTAGGATGATGGTAGATTACAGACTATTATTTTATGATGCAGCAGAAGAGAGGTGTCCATTGGCTTCAGATGCAAAGAAATGATAAGAAGATGGAAATGTTAATTAGCTTGATTTGATCATTACATAGTACACACATGCACTGAATTAACACACTGCACCCTATATATAACGTGCAGTTATTTGGTGTCAATTAAAAAGAAAAAACATCAAAATGAGTGAGAAGCAGAAGTCAAAACAGAATTCAAGACCCCATCTTCCTGAGCACTTTCTCTGAGATTCATCAATAAATAACATCTACTGTTATTAGTTAATTGCCTTGTACTCTTGTTGCTCACAATATTATTATCCTCATTATCATTAATCACAAAGATAGCAGCAATTAGGGCCCCTTCATTATTGTGTGTGTGGGTTAGTGCGTACCTGGAATAATGTCAAACTCATTAAATGAATAATAGAGACAGCATTATATGTGTGCTTAGCCTCTTTTGTGTTTTCTTCATCCATTACAGAGGGATTCTCTGCCCTTAACTACTTCTATTTTTTTTGTGTGTGTGCTTCTCATAGAGTGATGATTCTATGACATAATGTGCATAGAGTTTTGGGTGGGATTACTAGACTTTGTATGTGAAGTTCAGGGTCATAGGAATTCCTCAATAATGGTTAGCCTTTCTTACAGGTGTTACTGTTGATGCTGTTGCCCAAGGCGTTGTTGCACAGGACACTAGCATTGCGAAGAGCTTCGAGGTTAGTTTGTCAGGGCAGGTGTAGCTCTGGCTAGCCCTTGGAGATGAATGAAGGATCCCAGGCTGCCGTCAGGGAGGGGAAGAGATTACCAATCACTGCGGTTAGGAAGCTGGGGGCTCCAGGGGTACAGCTGACCTCAACAGCCACCGTGGGCTGGTTTACCCTCTTCCTTCCCTAATGCCATGTGCTGCTCCCGCTGGGTCTGTGAATGGGCACAGGAATGAATGTGGAAGGAATCTTCGTGTGCAGCTTAAGCAAATTGGTGCAGCCAATATGGAAAGCAGTATGGAGATTCCTTGGAAAGCTGGGAATGGAACCACTATATGTCCTAGCTCTCCCTCTCTTCGGTCTATATCCAAAGGACTTAAAAACAGTATCCTACAGGGACACAGCCACATCAATGTTTATAGCAGCACAATTCACAATAGCTAAATTGTGGAACCAACCTAGATGCCCTTCAATAGATGAATGGATAAAAAATGTGGCATACATACACAAGGGAATATTACTCAGCAATAAAAGAGAATAAAATCATGGCATTTGCAGGTAAATGGATGGAGTTAGAGAAGATAATGCTAAGTAAAGTTAGCCAATCCCCCAAAACCAGATGCCGAATGTTTTCTTTGATGTAAGGAGGCTGATTCATGGTGGGATAGGGAGCGGGAGCATGGGAGGAATAGACGAACTCTAGATAGGGCAGAGGGGTGGGAGGGGAAGGGAGGGGGCAGGGGATAATTAATGATGGTGGAATGTGATAATCATTACTATCCAAAGTACATGTATGAAGACATGAATTGGTGTGAACATACTATGTGTACAACCAGAGATATGAAAAATTGTGCTCTATATATGTAATAAGAATTGTAATGTATTCTGCTGTCATATATAAACAAAAAAATTACATAAAAAACATCCTTTTAAGATTTTGAGGGGAGAAGAATGAGCCCCCATGGACATTCTAGGTTGGCCCGGGACTCTGTCTGTGAATCTGGAGAAACCACAGTGCAGGAAGACCCTTCAGGGATCTGGGGACCCCCAGCTGAAGCAGAGCCACTCACCATTGACACACAGACTGTTCCTTTCGAGAGAGTAGGGGCCCAGCTGGGTGACACCATGGGTCAGCCGGCTCAGCTCCCAGTACAACTGCTCCCTGTCCAGCCTCGGGCCTGTGGGACCTGAGTAGTAGCTGCACACTGCGTCGATCCTGGTGCTCATCTTATCCTTTTCGGCTCTGGGGAGAGAGGGACATGGGCACAGGGCTGGAGACTCCGCCACGCTGCCTCCAGTTGTACCCCTGGTCTTTTAGTCAGCACCTCTGCCTGGGTTGCCCCTGTTCTCTGACTGTATCTTTTCCTCTTTCGTCTGGGGACCAGACCCTACCTCTTTAAATGTAGCCCCCTCCCAGGGCTGCTCCGCTCCCTGTTCTTCTTATAACTCCCCCAGGCTCTTTGTTTCCACCCCCAGCCCCAACACACTCCCTCCCTCCACTCCGGGAAGAGCCCAGTCCTGCTGGGCCGTGGGGCTGGGAGGTGGAGCTCCCCCGGAGGGAACTGAGAAGCCTGGGACCCGGCAACGCTGTGGAAAGGAGAATGGGGACCTCGGGCATGTGGGCCATTTCCCCATGGCTGCTGCATGGGCAACGGCCATCATGGAGCCTGACAGGGTGACTTCATCAGAAGTTGGTGGATCCCAAGGCTGGGTTTAGCCCTTCAGGAAAACCTTTGGGTAGGCAACTCAGTTTGGAGAGAGAGAGAGAGAGAGAGAGAGAGAGAGAGAGAGAGAGAGAGAG